TCGCAGATGAAGATGTTGAACAGTGCGGGCCTGAGGACCGAGCCCTGGGGGACCCCACTGCCCGCATCCATCCAGGTCAAAAATGGCCCATCGACCACCACTTTCTGGGTGCGGCCCTCCAGCCAGTTGGTGACCCATCTGACTGTGTGGGTGTCGACACCACAGCCCCCCAGTTTCTTGATGAGAACGGGGTGAGAGACAGTGTCGAAGGCCTTCCGAAAGTCCTGAAAGACTTATGTCTGCCATGACACCTGCGTCCAGGGATTTGTGACCTGGTCGTAGCATACCTTCTACATTTAGATAAATTACAATATTTCAGTAATCTTCTCTTTTGAGGACACAAGTCCAAAGCAGTGGTTTAAAGTTGGCTTTTGCAAATAAAGTTGTTTTATTGCAAAAAATGTTGTTTCTTCAAACTTGTTTATTTTGTCCTTGCTAATCCTCTATTTAATGATTTTTCTGAATTCAGAGCTCTCTTTGACTATGACAAGACTAAAGACAGTGGCCTTCCCAGTCAGGGACTGAACTTCAAATTTGGCGACATCCTCCATGTCATCAATGCTTCTGATGATGAATGGTGGCAGGCACGGCAGGTGACGCCAGATGGAGAAAGTGATGAAATTGGAGTTATCCCAAGCAAGCGCAGGTATAGTACATTATATATGCATCTTCTCTTAAGTCTTTGCTGTTAAAATTGTGCTTGTATTTATGCATAAACAAACTAAGCAGTCCTCTCAAATTATTTGGTCCTCACCACTGCCTCCGAACAGTGTTACTGCAAGACATTGAAAGCTGACTGTTCAGATTAAGTATTTGTCAGATGCATTTGTTGCTGAATGGTTTGGGGACAGGTCTGAAGACAGGGAAAAAAACCAAAAGCTTTGAGTACTGTTTCTGTTTTTCATACTTGTGGGATAAAAAAATGGGTTGACTAGTGATTCTAGCAAAGATTAGGGATTCTAAACGTCTTTTCTTTTTTTTTTCTTTCTTTTTTTTTTTTTTGAGTTTTTCACTGTAGTTTTGTCAGTTTTTTGAATATGCCTTGCAATAAATTTAACAATGCCATCTGTGCATAGTTCAATGTTTTGCTCTTTGTGGTAAATAATGCTACATCATTTATACTGTATTGCATCATTTATACTGGACTGGGACTTGGGGACCTGGTTTCTCTCCCAGCTAAGCAACTAGCTTGCTGTGTCTCCTTGCACAAGAAACTTCACCAGTGTGCCTATTTCTCCATCTGAAATAATGGCAACAAGGGGTGCCTGTACATCATGCGGGGCTGCTCTGAGGTGCCGTATTTATAGCACGTCAGTTAATTGAGTCTGCTAAAGGGTGGTAATTATGGTGCTCCAGCAGCCTCCTATGTCTCATGTATCAGCATCCTTACACTTAAAAATGGTGGCGGGGTGCTTGAACTAAAGCTTGTTGAATGAGCTTTAGTCCAGGGACCCCTGTCGCCATTTTTAAGCATGGGGACACTGATACATGAGACACAGTGGTGCTTTGATTAGTTACCCCCTTTTTGGAAAAGTTACCCACCTATTTGAGAAAGGGTCATAGAGTACTGTAGCCCAGGACCCTCCAAATGGAGGCCTGCAGGCCACATCCCGCTGTTGAGGCGGCCGGGGACTCTCTCTTACTCTAACAGCTCCCTCCCCCCACCTCCACCTCCAGAGCACATGTAAAAGTGCCCAAGGATACCAGCCTCCTTTGAAAAGTCACTGAAATCTGCTGAAGAACAGCACTTGATTATGATCAGGATATAGATGAAGTTTATCTGGCATTGATTTTCCTGCATAACTGAAGAGAAATACGTTGCGTGTCTGCTTGGGGAGGGAGTCCTATTTACAACCAAGTGTCTTTTTGTATTCTAAAGTATTACTGGGAAAATGGAGCTTTGGAGTTCAAACTATGCATCCAGTTTATATTTCCATGAATCTCACCAGCCCTAGTTTTTATAGAGACCATGGCCCTGGCCCTAGGCCATAGTCGGGTGTTAGCTACTCCCCTATTTTACAGATAAGTTAACAGGTTACACAGGGACACTGCAGGCACAGATCAGGGTTAGACTCTAAGGACAAAGTCCTCTCCGTTGAAGTCACTATCAGCTCCCATCAACTTCAGTATATCCAGGATTCTGCCTTAGTCTCCAGAAGACCACAATGCTTTTCAGATTTGTCTTTGACCACTAAACCACTCGTTTCCCACAGCTAGGGAGAAAAGCCAGAGTTCAGGGTCTACAGCAGGGCTAGCCAGCTTCTGAGCAGCTAGGGGCCACACACCTCATGGGCTCCTTGGGACCCCTTCTGAGCAGGCTTGCCAGCCCCCTCCTGTCATGCTGCCCTGCCCCGGAGACTCCGGTTGTCTCAGCAGCAGGATGTGGCCTGCAGGCCTCCAGTTGCACAGTCCTGGGCTACAATATTCTATGAACCTTCCCAAATAGGTGGGTAACTTCCTGAAAAGCCGCATAGCAAGTGAATGCCAAACTAATGTGGACTGGCCGCTGCTATACCTGATCTGCTAGTGACAGTGGTGGGGGTCTGAAGCTCCAGGTTTCAGAGCCTGCTGTTGACTCCTGTATGTGGTTGCATATGACATTTTTTTAGAACTGTTTTATTTAACTCGCACAATGGGAAAATATTCAAGAAGCACACTTTCGTTTCAAGAACTGTTAATTATGGCATAGCACACCAGAACGCAGGTGAAAAATACGTGCATGGCTGGTAAGACTATCCAGGGTTATAGCTAATACTAAGAGAGTTTATATTTCATTCTTCAGTGGTTATGATAGTATCTAGACCTAAAGATTTTTTCTGAAGAATCTAGCACATGCCATAATTAAAGACCAGGTTTATAATAAATGTAATCAGTCTGTTATGAAAGTCTGGTCTTTACAGCCTTGTTGAAGGAGAAAGACATAAAATGTGGGTCAGGAGGTGGGGTGTCTGCTGCATTGTCTGCCAGAAGCAGCTCTGTCTCACTTGAAGGTGAGCACTGATTACCACAGGCATTGGTCTCATCTTGTTCCGCCCTGCCTTTTGCATTCCTTTAGCCTGTCCTTGGAGTCACTGCAGTCTTGTTGAGTCATTTAGAAGGGTGCACTCACATGGGCTAGGGACAGACATTCAAAAAGCTGAATCCTGAATTGATTCAATCTTTGCAGGTTAGTCTAGCGTGCATAGATTGAACCAATTTGCAAGTGGACAGACATTCCCTTTTGACTCCAGAAATGCAGCCTAGCGCCTGCAGTGGCTCAGGCCAGAAGCCGGGGAGTGCTAGAGCGAGGCCTCTGCTGGAGGGAAACTAAGCTGAGGGAAGGGGCGTGGCCAGGCCTGGGCAGAGGGTTGCCCACAGTATGATTGGGGCGGGGTTTAAACCCCCACCCTGGCCTGTAGCAACTGCAGCTGGGGTCTACCTGGAGGGGAAGGGGGGAAGCAGTCCCTGTCAGGGGTCCCTAGTGCTCCCAGCCCCACTTATTCATTGGCTGGCGGCAGGGGTGGGGCCAGACCCCAGTAGCCTGAGGGGAAGCGGGGATTTAATCCCCCCATTGTAGGGGTTGGGCAGTGCAGGCACCAATAGGCTCCACTTGTGCACCCGGGGCTGTGGTGGCCAGATACCAGTAGCCGGGGGGGGG